TAATGTTGAACACATTGTATAGTAAACAAATCGACATGTTATGAAAAAAATCATAATTTCGTTTTAATAATAAAAATTTAAATTTAAAACCCTTTAATGCATAGTTTATCTCCCTTTTCTTAATATAATTTATCAATAAGATAATAATATGAAGTTTTGGCAAGACAAAGTATGTAGTTCATAATATATTCCAAAACCCCAACAAACGCCTCAATATAATTAGAATTCGCGTAAAGTTCGAATATTTTTATAGCAATTACAATTAGGCAGTCAGTCGAAACAATAATAATAATTCGGATAATTCAATATCATAAAAATATGATAAATACAGCGTTTGTTGATACCTAAAATAAATACGTGATAGATTATTCATTCTGCGATTAAATAATATCACAAAATATACATTTATTTGAAGTTTTTTAAAAACATTCAGTTTTAAGTAAAAGCATGTAAATAGGATCCAAATTATATCATATACCGGGTGATTCCAATCTAGTTCACTCTTACTGCTAAATTAAGTAATAAAACCCTTGGATGAAAATGTACCACATTCAATTCAATAATCAATATACAGTGTTGTTAAAACAGAAGCAACACCCGCGACAGATATAGCAGTTCGGAAACACTGTATAAATAAAAATAAAATATTTTTTTGATATTCTATTAGTGTGACGTAATTTGTGTTTCAATAACAGTTAACTTTTAACAAAAACAAACCATTATGTTATTGAATTTGACATAATAGACCGTCAGATAAAGATGTAGGTGCTTCATTTTCGTACATAAACCTCGAAGAGGATGAAAAGGACATTCATATTGAGTAGAATGAAAGGAATTTTACGAGGGGCTCTTGGGGATAACATATGGAAAATTCGGTTTTCCTAAACAGAAATATTTTGCGACACCAAAATACACTTATCCAATCGGGTCATTCAAGCAAATATGTTTTTCAAACTAGTGACGTTGTGTGGAAAAATCGGTTAAATTCTAGATTTTTCCTTACAAGATTACGCTTTTATTTCAACCCTTTGGCCAGTTGCAACATTAAAGCCTTCGGCTTTCTGAAGCTTAGTTCTATCAGGTAATCATTTAGTAAACATGGCTTGCCTGAAAATATGGACAACAAATACCTTTAATTTATGTTAAGGAAAATCGAATTCTCCATATATTATCCCCAGGAGCCACTGAAAAATTTCCTTTTATTCTACTCAAAATCGATGTTACCCTCTTCGAGGCCTGTATGCGAAAATGGGGCATCTAAACCTGTTACTATCTGACGGTCTATAATGAAGTATAATATTTTCAAATATTGTTTGCTGGTAGTAGTTAGATAGAGATCTTTCAGGATATATAATCTTTTACATGATATAGGAAAGGTCACAATATACAGGGTGTTTCAAAAAGATTGGTCATAAATTATACCACATATTCTTGGGTTAAAAATAGGTTGATTAAACCGTACTTACCTATATACAAAAGTGCACCCAAAAATAGTTATATTATAGTATAAGATAAAAATTTAAATGAATTTTTTTAACGTTGCTCTTAAACTGTTTGGCATTTTTTCATGAAATTTTATATGACGTATTAGAATACCATGACTAATAATTCCGAGGAAGAGGCAATATTTTTTTCTTGATTTTTATAGGTTTTTGGAGGGGGTCACCGCTCTTTTCTCCACTCAACTTTTTTGTAGTATAAAATTTAATTTTTGTCTCTTGGTATTTGTTTGTAAAAAGTTTAGTTTAGACGATACAGCCATTTGAAATGACAACTTAAAAATATTCAATAGAAATTCTACGTATGAAAAATATCAAAATTAAGTATATTTTTAAATTACAAACTAATGTCATCAAAATAAAAAAGTTTTATTTAACGGGTGTTCAAAATAACATTCTCCTCCTGTATACACTTGAAAATCGAATTTTGATATTTTTGCATACGTATAATTTACATTGAATATTTTTAAGATGTCATTTTAAGTGGCTGTATCGTCTAAACCAAACATTTTACAAACAAATACTAAGAGACAAAAAAGGTTCCAAATAGATGTTGCATTTCAGTAGCGTTCGATTTTTAATAAAATTTTATATTACAAAAAAGTTGAGTAGAGAAAGGGGCGGTGACACCCTCCAAAATCCTACAAAAATTAAAAAAAAATATATTGCCTCTACCTCGATTTTGTTAGTCATGGTATTCCAACACGTCATATAAAATTTCATGAAAAAATGTCAAACGGTTTAAGAGCAATGTTAAAAAAATTCATTTAAATTTTTATCTTATACACCCTGTAACTATTTTTGGGTGCACTTTTGTATATAGGTAAGTACGGTTTAATCGACCTATTTTTGACCCAAGAATACGTGGTATAATTTATGACCAATCTTTTTGAAACACCCTGTATAATAATAATAAATACAAAAAAACACAAATTAAAAGTGATACCCATGAAAATAAAAATATAAAATAGATAAATACAGTTAGCTAAGTATACTTATGTTAAATTGAAATAAAAAGTATGAACAAAAAAAAAGTACAGTGGGACATTGAAAACATTAATTACACGAAAAATTCTTCAACGCTATGACATTTTTCTATTAGGTAGTGTTTCAGTTTGATTTTAAATAAGCTATAAGTCACTATGATTTTAATTGAGAGAGGGAGATTACTGAATAGTCGTACACCGATGTATTGTAGATTTCTTTCATATGAAGCTGAGGCATCACGGTGCTTGGGAACCAACTTTAAATGAAAAGTTTATTTACTAGACTTTTTTTCGGTCAAAGTATTTCTGAAGGGCTATAGATTGGCGCAATATATTTTTTAAAATCGGTTCCAGCAGCCGTTTTTGAGAAAACTCGATTTTTAATGAAAAAGTGACCTTTTTTTTTACTTTTTTGCTTGTAACTTGCGCATTTCACTTTTTCTCGGCTTGCCAAAAGTAAATTTCAATGGGAAAATGTCCGCTCTACAAAAAAGCATTAATGAATTTTTTTCTCTAAAATCATCCGATTTTGAGTTAAATGATATGTCAAATAATAAAATATTTCGAATTTTGTCTACTTTTGTACTGGCTGGGCTATGAAAATCGAATATTGCCGACGATTGACAAACAATATAAATATAGTCAAAACTTCGCTCTGAAAATCTTCATAGTTTTATAAGACGATCTTTTTTTACTATTTCCTTGTCTTTTGGTTCACAAGTTGCTGCATTTAGATTTTTCAGCGACAAAATTATTTTGAAGTGATTCCGGTGATGATTTCCACCATGATATTCGATTTCAGAAATTTCGAGAAAATTTGTAGTGATTTAGAGTAAAAACGTACCAGTATTTCGGGAGTGGTTTACCCCTCGCATCCTTTAATGTACTTTTTACATAATCTTCAAACTATCAACAGTTCTAAAACTCACAAATTAGGAATAAAAATGCTAATGAAAAAGTTAGATTAATAAACTTTTATTTGCAACAAATTTATTTGTTTTCTTTGCCAATCGTCACCCATATTGGATTTATTTTTTTTTTTTGACAGTACGAAATAAAATTAGACTAATGTGTTCTCACTAAACCCACCCAATAATCTTAACCTCACATTGTGTAATTATGTTTTTCGCAGGTTTACTGACAATAAATTAAAATAAAATCACTTTCACATCCAAATATTTAAAATGCCAAGATGTTGCGTTGTTAAATGTACAAGCGCAAATTATTGTAATAAAAAAAGGTTTCTCTGAACATTTTTCGAAAATATTATTTCGAATATCCAAATTTTTGATTACTAATTTCTCGAAATACAATTTTTCGATAGATTAACTTTTTGAAAAAACTATTTATCGTAAATATTTTTCGATATCCATATTCAGAAAAGTTAATGTAACATTTTTAAAAAGATTGATCTAATTAGCAAGTGCCAATTATTGCAGCATCTGAACCGCAAAATTTTACTAAAGCACTTTATAAATGTTGATTATTTAAAAAGTATGAATACTATAATCAAACGAAACTATATAGTGTGCCTGAAACAGACATGAACTAAGACGGTAAAGTACCTGATAGTATTATCCCACACATCGGGACGATAGAGTAGGTGCCTAAAGCGCACGCATTTATTTGCAAGCAATTTTGTGGTAGTCACCCGGCTTCGAATCCTACAGAAGACAATGTAAATTTATTTGCATGGTTCTCTATAGGATTTGATGGATGCCATATTAGCAGAAATTTATGTTGATATGACATCCAGATTATAAAAATTGCCATGCGTTACTATTTCGATGATCGTGGATGGGGTTTTCCTCACCTGTAAGTCAAATGGCACAATCAATCATCTTTAAATCGCCACGGCAAATAATAATAATAATAAAGGATTTTTTTTATTTGATTATTTAAAATTAATTCTGATGCCTTGGTAGGATTCCCCACTCGACCATTCACTGTTGGGTTCTAATTAACAGTGATGTTCCTAAAGTGGCGCTGGGAAACAGTAACAAAGCCTACACAGAACACGAGGCGAGATAACCTTAGCAGTTGAAGCCGATGACACAAAAAAATATATAATAATAGCCGTCTCTTCCCCTACACAAGTCGCTCAGTCGGCTTTAGGGGTTGAAATTCACTCATAAGGGGCTGTATTATTATTATTATTATTATTACACGAACATAAAGAAAATAGAAATCGGTGATGATTTAAAAAAAGTATACATATATAGAGAAAAATTAATTAATTGACCTAACCTGTGCAGCCTGAAGTCATCGAGAATTGCTTCACCAAAAATGTATACATTCAACTCAAAAATATAATTTTTACTTAAGGAAACTATGGACGACGATCAGATTTATATTATATTAGAAATGTAGTCAGACTTTTGTTATAATAATTCATAGGTTCATAAAATTAAATATGAAGTTTGCTAGTTCAGAAGAATATTATTTAATTTTTTTTTTTTTATTTGATTTTTCGACAATTTTGTTTCGTTTTAAAAACATTGTAACTCGATAATTAGGCGATTCGATAAATTTCATTTCGAACAATGATTTTTTGAAAAATTACATTTAAAAAAATAGAAATCGAAGATATTACTTTTCGAAAAAATATGTAATTAAAAGATTATTTTTCGAACAAATAATTTCGAAAAATGTTCGTGGAATCAAAAAACAAAAACGATTTGTTATAGACCAATAAATAGGTTAAATTTTAAAACGCGACGTTAAAGGCCATTTTCCATCCAAGAATTCTCAACGCGCTTTCCCAGCGTAAGTGTGAAATTCAACTGTCAAATCTAATAGGATGTTTGCGGTGGTATTGTCACCTACCCATATCTTTCGCTAATCTCTCCCATTGACAGCAAATTAGTCAAATTTCGACTTAAAACACGGTTTTACCTCGCAGATGCATATTTGATATTATTTAACCGCGAACGATCCTAGTTCTCGTCAGAAATTTAAACCTCTCTATGTAAGTATCAACATTCAAACTCATTGGCCGTAATGGCGTTCAAAGTCAACATCAGTCCTTCGAGATTCGCCATCTCTTGGTTGAGTTCTTCGGTAGAATGCGAGGGTTGCAATCGTTGAATTTCTTCGGCGGTGTGCGGGGGAGGATTGGAAGAGTTAATTCTAGATGTGGGCGTGCTCATAGTGGTGGGCGGGCTGCTGCCCAACGCGGCCTTCTTGTAAGGAGAAGTCGTTGGCCTGACTGTTACTAAAAGACGGAAAAATGTATAATTTTGGATTCGATTCGAATTAAGTTGTAAAGCGCAATAAGCAGAAAAAGAAAAAATCTACATAATCCGTAATTACTTACATATTAAGCAGTTAGGAGACTCAACAACTAAATATTCAGACATCCACTGATAAATACATTTTATTGCCCAAACTACAAACTTACATTTGTTTAAAGTTAAAACAGCAAAGAAGTCTAAAAAATTATAAAAATAAATAAAAACATAGATCTAACAGCAGTTAATGACAAATATTAAAAAATAATGAAAAATATTAAAAAAAATTACCAACATTATGACAATATACAATTAGTGGAGCGAAATTCGTAAAAAAGTCGCTTATTTCTCGAGAAAAAAAATTGGGGTACAACCGGATGAGACCACATTGGTTTTGTAAAGTAAACATTTATATTCATTTTTACATACGAAATTTTGATTTACGACATTTTTTTGCGTATCAGATTTTTTTTATATATATAAAAAAAAAATTGAGCATTTTAAAAAATTCCTTTTTTGAGTTAACATCGTAATGATATTAAATCAATTGAGATATCGACCTAATTTTTTTTTTTTTTTTTCAGGTTAAAGTACAGAGAATACTGGTTCTAACTGTGCTAATTTTATTATTAAATATGGTTTAGAAATTTATTTAAATAATGAACAAAATATAAATTCCGTAGAAATGTATGGACATTTTCAACAATGAACAAACTTTTTTATTTGTAAAAAGAAAGCATAAATTATTTAAAAGGTTTTTGAAATAAAAAAAAACTCGAACTACTATCAACAATTTTCGAGATTAATTTTATTATAAATACCAAGCGATCCTCTGCATTATTATTGGCGATTCAAATTAATTTTCGCGCGCCTGTCATTTGTCACTTATAAGTAGGATGTTTGTTTATTTACATGTGTTTGCTTTGGGCGGAATTTGTATTTGTGAATTTTTTTAACTGTTTTTAGGTAATATTCTCATTGTAATAGTGTTTTTGAGTTTCATTTAGTGTTAATTTAAGTTTAAGTCTCGTGCTTTCGTCATAAATTTAATATTTATCATGTTTCTGACTTAATTTGTTGGAAATATTCACCTATTGGTTGCTACAAGAACATCTAGAAATATGTATTTACTAAACCCAGGACATGTTTTATTATGTGGTTTAAAGGACATTACAGGTACCAAACGTTTATTATTGATGAACTTATTTAAAAATCTTACTAGACTTATTCTTATATTATGAAGTGAATTATGTAGTACTTTGTATACATGTAAATTGTAATAAAACCGTCACAAATCATATTACAGTTTGATTCTAAACAAAGTTTTACAAAATTTCAATATTGTGAATTTGTAGATATCCATTTATAGTAAAAAACAAAATTTTACGACTTGCACTTGAAAAATAATTAATACTTCAGTTTTGATTTTGACATTAACACCATATAGATTGCAATTTGCTGGGGACTTTTTTGCAGATTTCATTTTTAATATAAACACTATCACATACTATAAAAAATTAACAAATTTAAAGCTAAAAAGTAAGAAAAACTCGAATTGTAATTGATACAAATTAAAATGTAAACAATGAACATGAACGCCAGTGTTGCCAAATGATTAACTGATTTTAAAACACAATAAATGAACTGAAATTAAAAAAAAAATCAATATAATAAATCGGTTTTATAAAAAAATCCTTAAATAAATATAGAGTATGATTACATATTACTATACACAAATTTTTATTCTTAAATGAAAGGTCTTATCCACTTCTTCAAGAGCTAAAATCCGACGACGTAGCGAAATTTTGCTACTTCTGGCAACGCTGAACGATATCCTAATTACAGGGACCTTCTACAAATTTCCTCCAGAGGGCGTATCACTTAACTTGAATCGCGAATAGCCGACTCGTTTGAGCACACTTGCCGCTAGACGGCAAATATATAAACAATTACTCTTTTTAGTTCTGTTTAAAACGCATAAGATGTATCATTTGTAAAAAATCTGTGAGTACCATCGATAAATTGGTAGCGCATAAACCTAGGATACAAGGTCTCCTTTCATTAATTTCGAGTGCGAAAAAAGACAAGATGATGTCGGAAAACAAATTTTATCACAAAGAATAGCATATTGTGCAACAAGTGGGGAAAGTTCAACTTTTCTCACGAGTCTGGAAGTTTGTGGTACGAGCCTGAAGGGCGAGTGTCACAAACACACGAGGGAAAAAAGTACTTTCCCCACATGTTTTTTTTTCTCCTATGGGCTCGTCTGACTAGTGTCTCCGAATGACACTGAAGCTTACTGGCTTATTGTGTTTTACCCCATGTTAGTTCATAGCACCCACTCTGTCACCTTTGTACCTTGTACAAGTTTGTACAGATCCTTGGGTGAGTGGGTTCTATACGTTGTTGGATCAACCTGGGGTTGTCCAAAAAGAGCCTGTCTTTTGCGATCTAGAGCTTCGCATTCGCATAGAATGTGTTTGGCCATTTCTGGTTTCTTGTGACATAGTCGGCACATGAGTTCCCCATTGTACATGCCAATTTTGTTCAAGTGTCCCTTTACTGGGGCGTGCCCAGTCATGAACCCTGTTATCACTTTCAACTGGTTCCTATTCATTAAGAGTAGTTCTCCAGTTCTTTTGGGACATGGTCTGCCTATGAAGGTTTTTCCATGTGCCTGTTTTGGGGTGATTCCCCAATAGTTGATATGTTGTTCCCGAATCCAGTCGTTTATGAAACCCCGGACTGTACTTTTTGGTACTCCTGGGTTTGTGTCTGGTTCCGGTGTTTCTTCTGACCCTCTTTTTGCAAGTTCGTCAGCCTTTTCGTTGCCTTCGATCCCTTTGTGACCTAGCACCCAAAATAGTTTTACTCTATTTCGGTCTGCCAGTGTTCTTAGTTCTTCGATTGAATTCCCATACCAGCCTCGACGTAACTTTCTGACTCGTTATGGCCTTAAGTGCCGCCTGGCTGTCTGACATGTCCCCACATGTTGCACACTACTATACTATTTATTTTTATTATTAGCAAATCTAAAATAATATTAAAGTATCCAACTTCTTAAAGTTAAGTAATTTATAAATTTTTCGTATGCCAGTCCATACTTTTTCTTGAAATTACCGGCAACAAATATAACGTTACTTTTTTAGCATTTTAGAGTATCTCTGGCGGAGTATTATCAAAATCGTCACTACTGTTAGTATCCATGCTATTTATTATAAATAGGTATGTCTTATTAAAATATTTAACGGAAATTTCGATTTTTATCAAAGTAAGAATGAAAACTACCTTAAAAATTTAAAAAACGATAATCATCTGACAGTTGTGACAACTATTTAAAGCTGAACAGCAGCCAACTAGGTTTTTGTCGATTTTTGTTGATTCTCCATATAAATGTATGTGGTGTGGACAAAGTGCCGTGAGAAAAAATATTTCTCACAGTATGAGCAATACATGGTTTTGAAATTAAGTATGCTATGATTATGAAGACTAGAGATAAAGAGGCGAATCGGCCTTGGTCTAATTTCAAATTTCCGTCCCTATTTTTATAGAGTTCCAAAAAACTACTGTAGTTGGCGGGTGGCAAAATAACGACGTCTATTTTATATGCAAGTCAATGGGAATTAAAGTGATTTATGTAAAATTTAGTGAAAAGAATAAAAATAAGCTGAAATAAAGACCCTGACTACAAGTGACAATGATTAACAAAAAACGGCAAAGCAGGATTTGCTTCGTTCCGGGTTGAAAAACGGGATATAAATCCGATATAAAATTAAAGAAAACACAAGGAGATAAAAATCCAAGTCTTTTTAACGCTCCTAGTGTAAGTAAAATGTATTTTTTTCTAAATATTATATATGTATTGTAAAATAGTCACAACCCGTATCTTACGGAGTGTAGTTTATTTAATTACAAAATTCTATAATAAAAAATAATAAAGTTATAAATCCTGACTTACAAACAACAATAATTACACATTAAATTTAACTTGCTAGCTATTTTTATGTTTTTTGATGTTAGATAAAAAGTTACTACTGTTACTTTTCTTTATTGAACTCCAATTTAGTCATTGCAAATATTTTTTATAGGATCCTAAACGTTTAGAACAATGGCAGCATGTGATTCCTAGGGCTGACAAAGTACTGTCTAGTTATGATTCTGTTTGCGAGCTACACTTTTTAGAAGATGATATTTTAAAATTTGATGAGACTATTTTAACTAAGGGCACTGTTAACAAAATAAAAAGGGAAAGGCCGAGATTAAAGAACGAAGCAATACCATGTATATTCCCGAATCTCCCTTCATACTTGTCCAGTATTAGGAAAAGACGAAAACCACCATTGAACCGAACTGAATTTGTTAGAATAAAAAAAAGGAAGAAAATACTAGAACCTATTGCTGAAGAAACTATTCACCAGGATGATGAAATTGTAGTTGTCGAATACAAAATTACCACAATACTGTTCTTACCAAATTTCACCATTTAACAAACCTTTTCAAATTTGGTCATACCTAATTTTCATTTTATTTAGATAAAATTAAATAATGAATAGTAAATAATGTTTAACATAAAGACTCATTTATAATTAATACCAACAATATTTTCTGTACTTTAGTAAGCAATTAAAACAAAGACTTATTTACAATAATTATAATCAACAGTATTTTCTGTGCTTTAGTTAGCAATAAACAATTTGATTTTTATTATTTTCATAAAATTTTGTAAAATCCCTAACTAAATATTTTCATTTAAACCGTGTCTTAGTATGCCCTCAGCCCTATTTAGCTTTAATTAAAAATAATTAGCCCTACCCATCAAATTTCAACACTTATCATCAATAATTTGCATTTTACTTAAATAGGAATAAATAGTAAATAATGTATCAATTAAAATATGTAAGACTTATTTAGAAATAAATACAACACTATGTTCTGTGCTTTATTTAGCAATAAACAAGTTTATTTTTATTATTTTGACAAAATT